AATATAGTATGGAGTTCATGAGGCTTAAAAGGCTGACACTAGTTTAACTTCAATTAGCTTTTAATGAGCCATGTTTTAGCAATTGGGTAGCAACAAGTTTATTCATAAGCCCATATAAACACATGATCAGGTAAACATGAATAATGAATAGCATAAACAGTAATCATTAGTGAGCATTTTATCATCAGTATCATCAGTGTTCATCATCTATTCCGTAAGGGTCCAAGACCGCTCATGACGGTGAGCACTCCTAATATACCAATTTTACACTCTGCAGAAGTTGTACACTTTTACTGTGAGTCATGATTTACCCTTTCGCCTGAGGCGGCCAACGGCTTGACTAACTACCAAGGAAGGTCGGCAGGGTTCACTATGAAGCTTTTCAAAGGTTCGTCTAACAAGTTAGGGCCGCTAAGGTTTCTCCATCAATAAACATGAACCCTCCTCCAAGGAGTAACTAACAAAATACTAAGAAACCAAAGTGCACCCTCTTGGCAGGCCGAGATCATACCTGTCAGAGACCCTCTTGCGCCATAAAGCTAACCACTAACAACCTAGAAAAGGTCCTCGTACTGAGCTAAAGCCAGAGCCATGTAGCCCACACAACTGTACTATAAGTTTTGGATGATCACTTACAGTTAAGTCCTTATGGAGAGGAATCTAGAGCACCATAAAAACAGCCCAATGCTCTAGCCCCCTTGTTCCATGTTGCTAAAAAAACATCTTTTAATGTTTATTGCATATACCATTAGTTGTGTGGGCTACATGGCTGTAGTTGAGCACTAGCATCATGCTACCCAATGTATTACCCCATAGGTATCAAGGCACAAGGTACAAAGTACTAGAAAATGCTTAGGGGTTATCAATGTAGACACATGCATCATGAATTAAATGATTAAAGGTGTATAGGACAACAAATACGATCCCATGCTATACTTACCTTAAACTCAGATCCTTCTTCTATTGAATTGTAACCTCCAAAGGACATCTTCTGGAAAACCAACTTCTTTTATATCACAAACGCAAAGCTCACCGACTAGATATAATCATAAAGCACCACACAAGCATTCATGCAATCATACACGAAGCAAACAATAGATCTAAATTAGAACAGTACATCAAACATAAAATCAAGGTGAAAAGTTTGTAAAACAAATCTATGTCTCGCTACGAACACACATACGTGAAAAGCACTCTAATCGAAGATATAACGAAAAAGTTATGAATTAAACAAGATTTCTTTTAATAAAATAATAGATTAAATCTAACCTCAAATTTCAAAACTTGAAAATATATTTAATAGTAGGATGAACATAGAGATTACTGAATTACAAATCTAACACAACTTGAATGGATCAAAACGGAGTTAAAACGAAGATTTTATGGCCTAAATAAGACTAGTAGCAAAACTGTAAATAGATGAAAGCGTATTTTGGATCTAACCGAAGAAACTATGTTTTCAAAAAAAATAAAACATATTTTGAATCTAACAGAGGGATTTTACGCTTTCTGAAAGAGAAAACGTATTCTGAATATACTAGAAAGAAACTACGCTTTCGGAATAGGAAAACGTATTCTAGAAGTGCGCTATGGACTGCATGTTATATTATGCAAAACTATAGGGGCGCTTTTGTAAATAAACCTGGCGAAGGGGTACGGGCGATCTTGGACCGTTGGATTGAATCTGGATGGCCCAGATTAGAAAAGAGGGAGAGAGAGAGTTACCGGCCGGAGAAGAAAACCGGCGCGGCGAGCTCCATTACCGACGGCGAGAAGCTCCTCAGAGCGCTAGGTTTGGGCCCTTGAAGCCACGGTTTGACGAGCCGAGAGCACGGGGAATAAGAGGAGAAGGCGATGAACTCACCTAGGGCCTTCCTGCCATCGATGGCGGGTCTACAGCGTCGGGCAGCGCAACGGCGACGACGACGGCAAGAGAAGGCGGAGAAAAATCTAATTGACTACATGAGAGATTTCCCAAACTAGGGGTTCCACTTACGGTAGTTTTGGTGTGCTTTGCCCAAGGAGTTGGTAGGTATTTATAAGGAAAAAAATACTCACATCTACATCAACTAGCAATATGATACTAATTGACCTAAATAATCATTAAAGCCCATTAGTAAATAAATGCATCGGCCTTTGAGATTTATTAGGATTATTGCACATGGGCTTTGAGAGATGGTTGAAAAATGAGATATATTATTTATTTTCAGAATTAATTAATTTTGCAAATAAAATAATTCTAGAAAATTTTAGAATTAATATTTAAGCCACGAAAAATACTCCGAGACCTCCAAAAATTTGGGAAATTTTTCTAGAGACACTTTGGAACATGATGAACCCCAATAAAGTATTTGGAGCACATGAAAAGATTATTGGGAACTCGGAACATAAAGATTTAGGCGAAGGAAGTAGGAATTAAATTCCAGAAATAAACTAGAAAATTTCTAGAGATAGATATTCGTCTTCTAAACGTATTTAAAAAGAACACAATTTGCACATAGAAACACAAGGTGCGACCGGCATGAATGCAACAAACACGTTTCTACCTTAAGATAAATTTTAATCTAATGAAAATTTAGTGTTTCCTCATATTTTCATGAGCATAAAAATACAAAATTAAATCATTTTAGTTCTATTTCAAGAGAAGCAAATTTTAGGATGTTACACAATGATTTAGCCTATCTTGCATAGAGCATCTTTGCAAGGTTCATCTTTGTTTGATATAATAACCTGCAGAAGTATAAAGAAGACTATATTCAAGTAATAACACTTGCTGTCATTTCAGTGTGATGGTTAGTTTGTAATTTGCTTCTGCATTCATACACACTACATTATTAGGATCTAGTACCTTGAGAGGTCGCATCTATGAGGCTGCCATCACCATAACCAGCTTCAGATTGGTCTGCTCACATCTCTAGTCCTTGGAGCGATGCTGCCAGGCGCCAGCCATAGACATGATGACGCCGAACCCTAGCAGGAAATAGGAGAGCCATGAGATGGCAAAGTGGATGACGCAGAGGGAGAGATAGGGGAGGGTAGACGAAGGAGTACCCAGATCCGCCACAGTAGCACCAAAACGAGGTGGAGACTAAGCAAGGGAGCCGGATCTGCCACTGACCTTCATCCACAGCCCTAGGCTCGCCCCTGGGAACCGAAAGCCCGCCACCGTAGCCTCGCCCCTAGGAACCTCGCGCCCGCCGCTTGGGGCAGGGGAGGAATGACGTCGCCATTTGGCGGCCACGCACCGCCACTGCTTGAGGGCCGGGATGGGGTGCCACCGCTGCTTGAGGGCGGGCGAATGGGCGCCAGCTGCCGCTTGAGGGCTAGAGGAGGGGCCTCCACCGCCGCTTGAGGGCAGCATCCTAGCCTCGCTCTTGGGGATTCCAGCGCCGCTGCTTGAAGGCAGCGTCTTGCCGTCCGCTAGGTATCAGAGGGGGAGGTTGGCGACGTCTGAGAGCACAAAGACCTGAGCTAGGGTTTCCTACTTTTATGTGTATGCGGGCACATCGTGCCTACTTTTGGGCCGGCTGAAAGGCCAGCGCGGCCCAGGCCCAGGTTGGCTATCGATCTGGATTCTAGGCGCATGTCAAATGAGATTTCCCTGTCGGTGCTATGATAGACCGACAGAAAAATATAGCAACACACAGGATAATTGTAATTTTTCTGTCAATTTTCATATTTCTTTGTGTGTTCTATCATACCCGCCAGGATAATTGCAGTTTTTCTATAGTGTAATAATATTGTTTTATAAAACATATATTGCTTAAAATTGAATTACTAATATACATATACATATGATACAATGTTTTAATCAAAATGTTTAAAATTTTTAAGATCACAACTTTATTAAGTTGATGAACAAATATATTTAGGAGTTGGTCCAAATCTTCAAGGTGCCAATTAGGAAAACCAAATCTTATCTTAAAGCAGATGGGGTTAAATTTTATTAAGTTTTACTGATATGAGGCTGCCAGCGTCCGGTCACATGCCACCGGACGCGTCCGGTCACATTTTTGCCGCTCTGAAACCTCTCTGTACTCGACCGGACTCTGCTATCCTACGTCCGATCGATCTGCCGCCAGCGTCCGGTCACCTGTCTGCCGATAAGCGGTGGTCTAATCAACCTAAGCACTTCGCAAAGCACCTACGCTAATCACCTAATGAAACACTAAGCACTATGCAAGTGCTATATATGTTTCCTCAGCTCCACACTACTCAAATGGCCGGTTGAGGGTTGTATTTATAAGCCCCACTGAGAAAGTAGCCGTTGGGGATGAAATCCCGCTTTTCTGCTACTGATCGGACGCTGAACTCGTCCTGACCGGACGCGTCCGGTCGCCCCCACCGTTGGAGCCGCGATCAACTGATCGGACGCTGCCAGCGTCCGGTCACATACCACCGGACGCGTCCGGTCGCATTTTCGCCGCTCTAGAACCTCTCTGTACTTGACCGGACTCTGCTGTCCTACGTCCGATCGATCTGCCACCAGCGTCCGGTCTCCTGTCTGCCGAGCCACCGGTCCAGCGTCCGGTCGCGCTTCCAGCGTCCGGTCCAGCGTCCGGTCGCCTCTGCGAGCTCGTTTCTTCGCGATCTTGCGTACGGCTTGGTTCCTATCTTCATGCTTGGACTTTGCTTGATATTTTGGGTCTTTTCTTGTGCTCCTAAGGTCTTGCTTATGGTGTTGATCATCGGATCATCACGTCGCCTTCGTCCAAGTCACGTGTTGCACCCTATTGAACTACAAAACAAAAACTTGCAAATTCATTAGTCCAATTTAGTTGTATTGGTCATCAAACACCGAAATCCAAAGTAAATGGACCTAGGGTCCATTTTCCTTACACAATTAACTAACATATAGTTGGGTTCTGGAAAAGATACTTTTGAACTGCCAACTACAGCTAGTTGCTTACAGAAAATTACGCTACTTATTAACTAATGAGAAGAATGTTATGATACTGCGAGCAGGTTACCAAATTTTAGAGGTTGATGGTTCAGAGGAGATGTACGATAGGATCATATTAGGTATTAATGCACAGGATGCAGTAAAAGTACTAGGTGCTGAAGCAACACATGAGGAACTGAAGACTCTGGGAGCTTTCCAGTATATGCGCAGGTAACACATACACTATACACTATATATTGTGTTATTCCTCATTTACATGATCTGATACAATAATTTTCAATTCTTGTATTTTTTTTCTTTGCAGTAACGTGTACGTCCACTGTGATGAAAGTTTGATGCCACATAATTCCTCCGCATGGAGCGCTAGGAACTTCTTGGGGACAACAAGCAGTGGTGTCTGTGTTACCTCCTGGCTAAATATACTTCAGGTGACTTTAGATTTACTATGTTTTTTGTGCATGATGGTTGATGAACGAATATATTTATAATATATTTTACACAATATGGAAGTGTTAACTTGGAACTTTCTCCTACATTTGAATTGCTAGAACATTGAATCTGCCGGGCCTTTACTTGTGACACTGAACCCTCCTCGTGTTCCCAATCATGTATTGCTTAAATGGCATACCAAACACCCAATTTCTTCCATTGCAGCTGCAAAGGCTAACCATGAGCTCAAGAACATCCAAGGAAAGAGGGGAATTTGGTTCTGTGGCACATGTCAAGGTGACCACTTTTGTTTGACATCAACCTGGATGCAATTTAACTAATTAAAATATAAGTAAGACTGAAATGTTGCACGTTTTTTGAAGAACAGGCTACGGATACCATGAGGACAGTGTTAAGGTATTCCATGTGAACTTGAACTTTTTAGGTTTCATCACTAAGGTGCTGAATATTAGGCAGATATTTATGGGAGTGCATTCTGTTTATGGCAAACTGAATTAACTCAGGCTGGGAAAGCAGCAGCTTCAGGATTGCTTGGAATGAAATGTGACCTTTTGGTTAACCCAAAACCGATGGTCCCATCATGGACTGAGGCTGGCGCACGTTATTTGGTAGCAAGAAATTTAGACCAATACACATCTATTGGTAACTGCTGGTGAGGCTAGTGCAAATCCTTACACAGCACAGTCTCTCTAGTCAAGATTTTCACATCACTTTTGTGCACAGCATGCTCGAGGAAGGAGGCACTACGTTTAGCTTTGGTAAAGCATGTGAGAAATGCGATATAAAATCTGTGATACGAGTTCATGATCGCCAGTTCTATTGGAAGGTTCTCTTCTCTCTTTCCTGTTTTATTCGAAGTTTTTTTTTTTTTTGACCTTCCAAACTACATTCTGGTTTCTTCTTCACATCTCATGTGAGATACATCTTTACTGTGCCTCATGTTTTGATTAGGCCGCAACAGAAGGAGACCTTGGTTTTGCATCTGCCTACATCCATGGCTATATCTCATTTGTTGATCACCGGAATGGCCTTGTGAACCTTGTACGGGTAAGACAAGTGTCTGGCCGATTGGTTTTTTACATATTTATAAAATCCAGTGAAGTTAGGACACTATAGGAAAGCAAGTTCAAGATAATCCTTCTAACACAATTGATTCAATTCTTGTCTAATCTTTTCCAATATGTTAGTGGGAAAATGGTGGGCATGCCTTTGAATACATTAAAACTTGGATGCTGAAAACAAAGTTTTATTCTCGTAATAGAAAAGGGGAAACCTTTTTTTTAATAATTATGTTAGTTGGAAAATTCTTAATAAAAATTTGAATTGTCATAGGCAAGTTTGATTGTTTAGTTACATGGATTCATATATCTACTCTGTTTCTGTTTGCTGACTAAATCTATGAGCCATATTGGTACAGATTATATTGGCTACTAGATGTGAACGCAAGAGGTTATACAGCACTAATAAGACAAGGTATCGCATCTTAATTCTAAGAAAAACAACTGAACAGTTCATCAATATGAAGGATCGTATATGAATATGCTATTGCTGAACTTGTTCAAATGTGCCCTGCAGCGGTTATACAATTAAGGCCTGGTGGGCACCGTTGCTTGGAATTAGTGGAGTTGGATTTGCAAAATATTTTCTGCGTCATGCCTGGCGGAAGAATAGTGTATCCAAAGCTCCTAAAAATATATCTGAACACTATGATCTGGTTAGTGAGCTTTGTTTATATTTTTAAGAATAAAAAAGATAACTAACTGCTCGAAGTTTACAACTATTCTCCCTCCATCCATATGCTGGAAATCATTCACTTCCATTGTGTTGAACTGAGTAAGTGGTGACAGATTTATTTCAATGTGAAATATTTTTGTGCAGAGTAATGATTTCTTTGCTCTTTATCTGGATCCATCATGACGTATTCTAGCTTCTGGTATTTTCAAGGTTTGCAAAATCTCATGATTTGATTTCCACATTGTAAATTATGTAGCTTTGTTCTCGAACAAGAATATTATGTAGTATATCTTGAGATTGCTCAATGACCTCTATATATTGGTTCTAATGGTAGGCGGAGGACGAGAGCTTAGAAGCAGCCCAGCTACGTACGCTTGACAGTCTCATCAATAAGGTAACAAAATCATAACATGCATTAATTGTGCTTTGTTTGAATTCTCTTAGATCATAAATCTCACCTGATCTTGGGACAACCCCAATATATGCATTACCTTATTAATTACTAGTAGCTTGCATATAAAAGTCCACATGACCTTATATATATGATGTCCTGTTGTTGCAATGAATCCATTTAACTGAAGGCTAAGGTGGAGTCAGGTCATCATGTTCTTGACATTGGTTGTGGTTGGGGCACTTTAGCAATACGGTTTGTGAAGAAAACTGGTTACAAGTTCACAGGAATTACATTATCCGAGGAGCAACTGAAATACGCCAAGAGAAAGGTGAAAGAATCTGGATTAGAGGTAAGTCATATTTCTTTTCTTGATAGTAGTGGCCCGAGATTGTCTTTTAGAAATATTAGCCAGCATTGGAAATTTAAAAAGCATGACTACAAATATCTATTGTATATGCAGGACCGCATAACTCTCCTGCTTTGTGATTACCGTCAAATACCGAATGGCCAAAAGTTTGATAGGATTATAAGTTGGTGAGTGATACTGCTGAAGTGATCATAGAAATGATAGCTTAGCTGCTACTCTGATAACTATGTTCTCCTTGCTCATTTAGTGAGATGCTTCAACACGTTGGCCATGAGTACTACGAAGATTTTTTTGCCTCCTGCGAGTATCATTTGGCAGAACACGGCATATTTGTCCTCCAGGTTGATCATTACCAATATTTATTTATCTTATACACCATTGTATGATTGGGGATAACTTTAGTCTTCAACAAACTATTTTTTTCTGAAAATTAAATTTATATGCACACAGACCATTGCGCTCGTAGAGGAAATGTATGACAAAATGAGGTTGCGGCCTGAGTTTGTAAAGACATATATCTTCCCCGGTGGCTGCCTACCTTCTCTAGGCCGGATTGTGTCTGCCATGACAAATGCATCAAGGCTCAAGTATGTACTCAACTATATTTCATAGCCATCGTTTAACAAATTCATCCGTGGATTATCATGCGTACTTCTATATTGTTGATGAGTACTCCTGTGTGCAGCATTCAACACCTTGAGAATATTGGTGACCACTACTACACGACTCTAATGAACTGGAGGGACAACTTCGCGGCAAACAGAGAGTAAATTCAATACTACCTCAAACTCAAGTTTAGTTGCAGGTGCTTATTTATTTATATTACTTAGTACTAGATTCCCCTTATTTGTTTTGATATTTCGCAGAAAAGCTTCTGCCCTAGGATTTGACGAAAAATTCATCTGTATTTGGGAGTACTATTTAGGTTATTGTGCGGCTTTGTTCAAATCGCGCATTACTATAGATTACCAGGTACGCGCTTACTATCGACACTATATGGTTAAACAATGGTAATTAACTTCAGTTATGTGGTAACTATGGGTTGATTACTGTTTATATGCTATGCAGATAGTGTTTGCTCGGCCAGGCGATTCAAAGCTACCAAGCTATGTCGCCATTGCATAAATAGAGGATGTTGTGTTTATGTTTCACAATATGTTTTAGGTCGAGATAATATTGTGTTATATGTGTCGGATATCATAAAAAGGGGTACCCTAAGCAAGAACCGAAAAGATTGCTTAAACCTTGCAAATATCAGAGTCAAACAACAACCACGAGGTCTCGGCTGATTCTCCGATTCGCCCGAGGCCCGTCCCGCAAAGGCCTCAGACGAAAGGCCAACTCTCCGCCTTGCCGAGGCCATCTCGCCGAGGCCCTCTCGCAGAGACCATCTCGCCGAGGCCATCTCGCCGAGGCCCCGCCCCACACGGCCTCAGACGGGTTACCGATTCTCCGACTCGCTCGAGATCGGCTCGGCAACAACCTCGTCGCCTCCGTCTCGACCGACTTCTCTGACAAAACGTCATGCGTCCAACCACTCCCGCAACGTCAGCCCCACATCGACGCAGTGCAGCAGAGTGGCCGACGGGACAGGAGACAGGACTGAGCAGGGGTTACCGGAAACTGTGCTCAGCACTGCTCCCATGACTGGCGCCCGTACAGCACTGTGCTACCTAATTCCTGCTCTAGGAACAGCGCGGCGTGGGGAGTTTAGGTCAGGTACGGGTCACTATAGCCTCGGAATCAGTGCATAGGACCAACTGCTCCCTCCAAGGCCTCGACAATCCACTTCAGGGCCTCGGCAACTTCGGGACTCGCGCCCGTCGAGCCCCTTGCGATGGCTCGGCCTCGGCACCAACTGAGCCTCGGCTCTTTACACTGTCAACGCACAGCGACCAGCACGTCGTCGGCCATGCCCTGCGCCAAGCTATCACTGGAGCTCCCACGTCGTACAAGATCAGGTGTGACCGGCGCGTTGCTCCAGTACATCAAGGACGACCACTCCGTTGACCATACCGCCACAGTAGTAAGCTACAGGGCTTAGACACGCCACCTCCGCTTACAAGACGCTGCATAAGCGAACACATGTATCACTCCGGTCCCCCTTCAACTATAAAAGGAGAGACCGGGGCCGTTTCTAAGCGAGGGTCAGGCGCTGTCGGGAAGATCGCATAGGAAGATAGACGAACATTCGCATAGGCTCACGTAGACTCAGACCCATGCTTCCCCGCTGCCTGAGAGCAACGTCTCAAGCAGCCCGCACCGCTCCACGCAGAGACCTGGGACTAGCTCCCTCTCTCGCCCAGCTTGTAACCCCTTACTACAAGCACTTCGGTGCAAGGAATACAAGATCAATCTCTCAGACTGGACGTAGGGCACCGATTGCCTAAACCAGTATAAACCTTGTGTCTCTTTGCATCACCATCCGGGATTAGGGGCACGCAATTCACATTCACTAGTTGGTTGAGGACCCCGCCCCCCCGGTCCGAAACAACGACAGTTGGCGCGCCAGGTAGGGGCCATACTGCGTCTTAGCTTAATCGTCCCAACAAGTTCCGGATGGCAGACCCCATACGACCACTACGTCTCAGCACGGTGATCTGGTTTGGGAGCCTAGAGTTCATGTCTCTAGGATATGAGTACGATATCGTACTCCTAACCCCCAGAGCCCCACCGACCGACAACGGCGTCACGCACCCGTAGCCCAGGCGCGGGCGGCGCCCGGGCAGCCGCTCTCGTCGCTTCCTGCCCAGCGCAACGCGGTGGGACCACCACGACACCGCGCAAGTTCGTGGCAACGATCCACGATCGCGCTCGCCAGTATCCCATGCCCAATTTGTTGCACAGAGTCCTGGTCGGGGACTCAGATAGCTTAAGCCTGGGCAAGAGAAAGACACCGATGGCGCACAGCGACGCCCCGTCATCAAGCTCTGCCCCGCCACCTCCTGAGGAGCTGAGTTCTTTCATCACCCCATTCGACATGTACTACTATGTCACTATGCCATTCGGTCTCAGAAACGCAGGGGCCACGTACCAGCGGTGCACCACCCAGGTCTTTGGCGAGCACATCGGGCAAACCATCGAAGCCGGCGTGGACGACATCGAGGACAAGTCCAGGAAGGCCAGTGACCTCGACGATGACTTAGAAGTTGGTGGCCCGCCTAAGTACTAAAGCCCAGGACCTACAAGCTAGCCTACGAGAAGGGCGAAATCCTCACCAACACTTGGAACATAGAACAGATACGTCGCTTCTACCCTTAAATTCCCAAGTGTCATACAATTTTCCTCGAAATACAATAAAGAAACGTTCTTTAATTGTTCTAAATTTTCGAGGAACCCCCCGAGCCCATCGGTACGGGTTCGGCGTTATGATAACGCTAGGGGGGAGACTCGACTCTGCCTCTGCAGAACCGAGCCTCCCTCGGGAGCTAGGAGGGAACCCCCCCCCCAAAATCCCAAACTCTATCACGAACTCTGACAAATCGATTGCAAAAACCTAAGGACCGAAAGTTCGCCTCGAGGCCAAAAGGCCGGCCGAGCCGCGAGACAGCCTACGCCTCTGGGCTACGGCAACTCCCTCACCACCTTTCGCCCAAGGGGCAGCTTAGGCTCCAAGGAAGTTTTTGCAAAGGACTTGTCTAAAAACGAGACAGGGGGACACCGTTTCGAAAAAATTCCTACGCCAAACTCTCTCACGTACTCTGACAAATCAATTGTAAAAAAACCTAAGGACCGAAAGTATGCCTCGAGGCCAAAAGGCCGACCGAGCCGCGAGACTGCCTACGCCTCTAGGCTACGGCAACTCCCTCACCACCTTTCGCCAGAGGGGCAGCTTGGGCTCCGAGGAAGTTTTTTGCAAGTGATATGTTCGGAAACGGAGCAGAGGGCAGGGGCTGGGAAACATAATAGAAAACGATTAAAAAACATATATACACAAGTACTGAAAAGGCCTCGACGGCCACAAATGTTATGGTACAATGATGTACGTCCTAATCTATTACATGACCCCTTTGGCCCAGGTCAGAATACGGGGTCGCCAGCGTCGACAGACGGCGTAGGAGGAGCCACCTCCTCTTTGAACAGCCGGGCCAGCGCCGTGCCAGGGGCCTCAGCCGCCTCCTCCTCAGCCTTCTCGTTGTCCTCTGCCACGACGTAAATCGTGTCCGAGACCGGCAGGGAGGTCTCTGAATAGGATCCCACCGTAGGGAGGCATCGAGCCCCCGGGGCCAATCGAACGGCCCTGGGACCCACTGGAGAAGCCCTCTGGTGCATTTGGAGTGCGTCTCTGGACCGCTAGCCGACCCCTATCGAATGGGGCACGGGCCTCCACTTGGACTTACCCGATAAAAGCTCACCGGAAGTGCCACCGCTCGCGCCCACCGAGGGTAGCCTGACATATTTCACCCCTCCTTCCAAACGAAAAGGATGCGCGAGGGTCGCACAAAAAGCCAGGGGAACTCCTAATCGCCCTCTCGCTCCGTGCAGAGGCTCGAGGGCTCTTCCTGTAACCTTGCCGAGACCCAACGACCCAGGCTCGCACGCGAGGGCTCGGCAAACAACCCCTCCTTCCGAATGAAAAGGATGCGCGAGGGTCGCACAAAAAGCCAGGGGAACTCCTGATCGCCCTCTCGCTCCGTGCAGAGGCTCGGGGGCAAACAACATCGACCCGAACTCGCACTCAGGGGCCCGGCAAACGTGATGAAACTCCTTACTCGACAGAGAAAAAGCCCCTGGAGGAGTAAATCCACTCCTCCAGGGCCTCGGGGGCTACACCCAGCGGGTGCGCTCGCACGCACCCCCCGGAACCATGAGTACAAAACACAATCCCGACGGGTGCTGCTGCAAGCCAAAATATCGACAAAACCTCAGGGAGAGTGCTCGCACTGACCTCGAGGCTCGGGGGCTACTGTCGGATACCATAAAAAGGGGTACCCCAAGCAAGAACCGAAAAGATTGCTTAAACCTTGCAAATATCAGAGCCAAACAACAACCATGAGGTCACGGCTGATTCTCCGATTCGCCCGAGGCCCATCCCGCAAAGGCCTCGGACGAAAGGCCAACTCTCCGCCTTGCCAAGGCCCTCTCGCCGAGGCCATCTCGCCGAGGCCCCGCCCCGCACGGCCTCAAACGGGTTACCGATTCTCTGACTCGCTCGAGGCCGGCTCGGCAACAACCTCGTCGCCTCCATCTCGACCGACTTCTCTGACAAAACATCACGCGTCCAACCACTCCCACAACGTCAGCCCCACGTCGACGTAGTGCAGCGGAGTGGCCGACGGAACAGGAGACAGGACTGAGCAGGGGTTACCGGACACTGTGCTCAGCACTGCTCCCATGACTGGCGCCCGTACAGCACTATGCTACCTAATTCCTGCTCCAGGAACAACGCGGCGTGGGGAGTTTAGGTCAGGTACGGGTCACTATAGGCTCAGAATCAGTGCATAGGACCAACTGCTCCCTCCAAGGCCTCGACAATCCACTTCAAGGCCTCAGCAACCTCGGGACTCGTGCCCGCCGAGCCTCCCGCGATGGCTCGGCCTCGGCACCAACTGAGCCTCGGCTCTTTACACTGTCAACGCACAGCAACCAGCACGTCGTCGGCCATGCCCTGCGCCAAGCTATCACTGGAGCTCCCACGTCGTACAAGATCAGGTGTGACCGGCGTGTTGCTCCAGTACATCAAGGACGACCACTCCGTTGACCATACCGCCACAGTAGTAAGCTACAGGGCTCAGACACGCCACCTCCGCTTACAAGACGCTGCATAAGCGAACACATGTATCACCCCGGTTCCCCCTTCAACTATAAAAGGAGAGACCGGGGCCATTTCTAAGCGAGGGTCAGGCGCTCTCGGGAAGATCGCACAGGAAGATAGACGAACACTCGCATAGGCTCACGTAGACTCAGACCCACGCTTTCCCGCTGCCTGAGAGCAACGTCTCAAGTAGCCCGCACCGCTCCACGCAGAGACCTGGGACTAGCTCCCTCTCTCGCCCAGCTTGTAACCCCCTACTACAAGCACTTCGGTGCAAGGAATACAAGATTGATCTCTCAGATTGGACGTAGGGCACCGATTGCCTGAACCAGTAAAAACCTTTTGTCTCTTTGCATCACCATCCGGGATT